GCCTAGCCTCGTTACTTTCGGGAACTAACGACGTGAGCGTGCTGTTCTGATAAGCTATCGTCGCTTACTCGATTCTGTACCGCGCATGCTGGTGCTTTGGGGAGCACGTGTGCTTGGAGGTTACTTCCGAGTGTGTCTCTCGTGTTGTTCATTATCACACCTTTACTATATCATGCCTCTACTATATCATACATTAGTTTTCAAAATAGTTTCCAATTTCAATATCCCCAGGTCCCGGAGAGAGGCGAAGCTGCACTGAGTGCGAGCATCCATGGAGCGTCGACTGTTACATCTCCTGTCACCACACGGAGTGTCCATAATACTGTTAGCAACAGTCTTAGTGCTTTTCTCAAGCGAACACAATTCAACAGTAGCAGCAGTAGTAGTAGTGCTGATGATTGTGATACTGATACCTCTGCAAGTTGACTGTATCGTGGCACGTTAATGATTGTCTCCGCTGTTCACTGAATGTCGAGTAGTGAGTGAGAATGATAGGAGTTGGTGGAAGACATTACACTATTTGAGTGACCGTAACTTGGCTTTCTCGGAGAAGCGGCGGAGCGCAATTTATAAGAGCGAGGCACTGCCTCGCTCAACGAGATCTGAGAACGGTACAGTATACCCAAGGGAGGTCAGTCAGGAAAAAATAATCAGGGCCCTGATTGTAAGACTCCCATACAGATGAGATGATCGGTCTCAGATCCTGATGGTCTGTCTTGAGGTTACCTTCGCCGAAGGAAAGCTGAAGACAGACACCGAAGGACCTTCGGTATGCAGTGTCTTCCATCGCTTCTGCAACCTGGGCGACTGCTGGAACGTGGGGGCTCCCACATTTCAGCAGTCGAACACAGCTGGACCCTAGCGTCCCCCCCCACTGGGGGGCTCTTTTACCTATCTGAGCTCACTGATTCCGAGAGTTTCAAACGCTTGGACTATTCGCTTTGGGGATACGGGTGTAGGACCACTTGCGGCGGGCATTCCAGATGGTCTTGACAGAAGGAGCGTCTGTATCGGCGCACTAGGGTGTTCGCACGTCCAAATGACACGCTACGCTCGTACTGTGACCATCACAGTGTGATAGCCTTTCCGCAGAGGTCTTCGACTGATCCATGGTGGAACAGTCATGATGGAACTTCCATCGCACGGCACAATGCCTGCGCCTTACGCGGACAATTCGACGTGGGTGGGGACAGAGTCGCGATTGGTCATGATATAGTGGAAGGTTCGCTAACGCTAGGCCCCTCCTTGGCGACGGTGCCACGTGGCGTGACCCACGCCGTCGGTGCGTGAAAGGGGCCAATTTTGATTTGGCTACACACACTACCATTACTGGCAACCTTTTGTTGCTGACGACTGCATCCATTGGAACCCCAAATCTAGTCCTGTTCGGGCTGATATTCCAATATCACTGGTGAGAGCTATGAAGGCGGTGCCGGCTTGTTCTGGATATGGAAGCTGCTGGGGCTCCATGCTAATCGACAGCTGCTGCCGAAATATCAATCATTTTTCTATGTGCCAATTTTCAACGTGCGCGATAATTCGTTAATGCATAGCTATCGGCGATGAGACTTCGTCGCCGTGCGGATCCCTGATAGCATGAAAACAGACTGGACGACGGCTAGGAGTATGAGTAGTCCGACTGGGGAATGGCGCGCAGTGGCGGTGTCAAAGTTTGACGGTCAAACTCACTACCGAGTCGATTTTCTATTCCTGGAGCCGCTCCGTGGCTAACCAAGCCCGGCTTGCCAAGCTGGCGAATCCTCGATAAGGAGGGGTTGGACATTGTCGAATCGACAATCGCGTCACGGGTTGATGGATGCCGTTTGGGGACAAAGCGCACGTGCTGAGTACTTGGAAAAGCTGGCTCAAGTGTTGGAATGGGATGCCATGCTCGTCGGAGCTAGAACACTCGAGTTGAGAGTTCGTCAAAGCGAGCTCGTGTAGGGGGCAACGTACGTGCCGAGATGCGGACCGCCGGACGCTATGAGTGCTAACGCAGTTGACAGAAGCTGCTCGCTCTCATCCAAAAACTGGGGGATAGAGAGGGCCAGCGCGAAGGATCGTGGCTGGCATTGTGTATCTTCAAGGATCGTGCACGTGCAATTGCCGAACAATATTTTGCGAGCCTATGCCGCAAGTCTGAAGAGTTCTCAATTCTGGTGGGCTACCTCCAGCGCCTGAAGAAGCGAGTAACCGACAAGCAGAAGCCCGGCATGAGGGGAAGATCATTCTATGTGAAGTGTGGAAGCCGGACAAGGAGACAGCACCGAGGGAAAACGGCGCAGCACGCATGCGCAAGGAAATTCAACTGTGCGCATGAAATTCTTCGCCCGCCACAAAATTGAAGTATTGCCCTCCTGTGGCAAGGTTGTTGGCCCAAGGCTGCTTACAGCGAGCGAGCTCGATGTAAGCAGTAAAGGAATTCGAACTCCGACGGAAAATTATCTGGAAACAATTAGGAGTAGTGTTTAGAATATCCCTCAAAGTCTTTTCGACTATTGTCGTGAGGTCAAGCAGCCTTCGGTTCGGAGCAGACTCGCGCCTTCGTTGGGAGAGGTAGAACATTTAGTCAGGTAAGGTTGAACATCTTGAGCTGCTAGTCGATATGACTGGTGATATCTTCTCGTTCTTGATCAGGTCTAGTATGCTCGTGCTTCTTCAGAATAAACTTAATATTAATTCAAGATTTCGTCTTTCTGTAAATTCTCTTCGACTCCGTACTGTCGGATCGATTCAGGGCCACCTCGGCGTCT